TCAACCCTCTCCAACAGCTCCCTGTCTTTCTTGTACTGGGGGCTCCTGACCTGGACACAGTACTCCAGCTGAGGCCTCACAAGAGCAGAGTAGAGGGGGACAATCACCTCCCTGTCCCTGCTGGCCAACCCTCTTTTGATGGAGCCCAGGATACCATTTGCTTCCCAAGCTGCAAGAGCACACTGCTGGCTCATGTTAAGTTTTTCATCAACCAGGACCTCCAGGTCCTTCTCTGCAGGGCTGCTTTCAAGGACTGCTCCTCCCAGTCTGTATATAAGCCTGGGATTCCTCCAGCCTAAGTGCAAAACCTTGCACTTGGCTGTGTTGAACCTCATTAGATAATATCTGCCAATTGACATTTATAAGATTTTTTCTTCTTTTTCTAAATCCTCAGTGGCTAGTTCCATATGCAGCGTTAAGTAGCGTGCTCATCCACGAACGGTTTTTAAAAATGACCTGTATTCTGACAGTTGAGTACCTCAGCTTCTTCAGTGCTGGACTGACAATTATAGACTGAATTCTTACACAGTTCCCCTTACAAAATGAAGGCAGGTCCCACCTCGACCTCTTCCGCAGGGGCTGCTTATTGAATGAGAAATTATCCTGTTTGACTACCATGATCTGCTTCTGTTGGCAGTGTAAATAAAGGAACTTCTGCTGGCTTTAATTATTATATGAATTATATTGAGCAGCATTTAATTTCAATATTATTCCAGCTGTTTCAATCCACATAAATAAAAATCTATTCTTGCAGATGCTTTAGGGTAGATACTTACATTTTAATGCAATTATTTTAATACATTCCAGTTATTTTAATTCCTTTTGAAAACAGCAACAAAAATACAAAAAATGACAAAAATACAAAATGTGACAAAAATACAGTGCAGTCCATAGATGATGCCCTAATCTAAACTTGGGAATGAACAAATGTAACCAGGTTCTATCAACCTTGGTGTCATCGGTTGTTCCACACTGGTCTCAGGCTGTCTGTTCAGTAATCTTTTATGCTAAGAATATTGTAAAATAGATGGTAAGAAACAGTTTCACTGTTTGTAATGCTAGATCAAATCAAGTATTTTAATATAGAGGTAAAAATGTTATTAAAGAAGAATTAGGTCCAAGATCCTTAATTTGAATAATTAAATGGATTTTGTACTTATAAAATCATATCTAGAAATTGGTTACTTTATGGCATAGTCGTTATTCAGATCAAGCCTGTCGTTAGGAACTAAATACATGTAAATGTGTTCTTTCAGTTCAATTTTTTCAGCATTCAAAGTGAAAATTTGTGGTATGATGAAGAGCAGTTCTAACTATTGTCTCATCACCATCATTTCATTCTTTGGTCAGCTTCTGATGCCATGAGTTTCAACTTTTGATGGCATGCATAATGTAAATTCCTAGTTTGAGAATTATTTTTAACAATTTTATTCAAAGACAGTTTTTAGTTAGAGAAACACTTCTTTAATTGACCAAATTAAAAATATTTTATTTTTGTTGCAGTTGAAGCTGGAAACCAATTTATATAGTTCTCAGAATCCAGATTTGATGGACTTTGTTCTTAAACTGAAGCCTAGTTTAAACTGTGGGTTTCAGGTCTGTGTTTGAATCTGGTTATTGAAGCATACAAAGACCTCAAAAATAATTCAAATGTATTTTATTTTTCTGTAGAGCTGTTTTTTTTTTCTTTTTTTTTTTTTCTTATCAGGTTGGAAAAATAGAAGTAACTGTAAGATGTTTGAAACAGAAGTTGTCATTTCCCTCAGGAAACTTCTATTTCAAGTTATTTCAGCCATTATTTTTATATTCAGCATACAGCAAGATGTGTCATACATAACTACAGCTTTTTGCTGGTTGCATTATAAAAGACATGTAGAGCAGTCCTTTCTCTATGTGATAATGAAGCTAGACAGCAAAAGTTCTTTATCTTGTTACTCTAAAGAAAAGGATTCTACCATAACTATCAAGCTGTATTGGTGTGTGAGCTGCTTGAATTAAACACAGCACAAGCCTAGAAAATGAAGACAACTGCTACTGAAGATGTTCAGTAGTTCCTTACAGGAAGTGGATTTTACTCATACCGTCAATGTGTGAATCTCTAAATAGGTTTAGAAAATCATTCAGTAGAATCCAAACGGCTTGCTAATCACACTGTCCCATTGGAAGTGCATGGAAGCTTTCCCAACACAGTGTTTGAAGCTATCTCCAAGATTATGTATATGAAAAATACTGATATTTTCTAAACACAAATAGAATCTAATCATCCAAAAGTTATTATTCAATAGAAGTGAATTTTATGTTGCACAAATAGCGTGTGCTTTCTTAATTTTTGGAGACAAATCAAGTTCTTACCACAACTCAATTTATCACCAAAAACGATGAACCTACCTTTTATGAAACTGCCATATTTCCTTAGAAATATTAGACTCTAAGGGACATTTCACCATTTCATACTTTTCTGATATTCATATAATCTTTTTTTTCTTAACGTTGCTTTTTCTTGTTTGATTATTTTTATTCTTCCCCCTCTAATTTGATGAGAATAAATACTATCTTCCTATTTTATTTCTTTTAAGGAGAACTCAGCAGGAGCCACTAGAAAGCATATATCTAATACTTTTATTTTTTAAACAGAAAATGGCCTTATTTGTCACATAATTTACATTATTGATTTTCATCTTTTATGATTTTTCTTTTTTTTCCTCTTCTCTGAAAGCTGTGGAGTGTCCAGATGAACTGAAAAAAGAGCAGAGACTTGATTCTCAGCAAATATTTATCTTCCCAGAGGCCCAGATGAATACATATTGGGATTTTAAGAAGTGTTTAGAGGAATTTTTTGTTTTGTTTTGTTTTTGTTTTTTTTTCTTTTGTTATTTAGGCTTCACCCAACAGTCTTCATGTTCTGCAGTGTCTGAAATTATGCTGTTTAGGGGATTTATGACTACATGCATTTTTTTTTCTTTTTAAATCCATCTCTTATACTGACTTAATCTCTAACTATTGTGCTAAGTATTTTATCCAGGCTTATCATGATTAGATCCTTCTTCTTTAACTAGTCTAGGTGCAACTGGTGGTAACTACGCAGGAGCAGGAAGGGTAGCAGAGTTGCATTCTCAAAGGTATGTATGAGGATACAACTCTGCAGGCAGTTCCTCAAGGTGCTCCGAATGGATGAATTTATTACTTTAGTTCAGAATGGGAAATTTGGTCACTCTGATGATTTGGAGCCTGAAAGTTTTTTTGTGTGTTTCGCTGTACCAAACATTTTTTTAAGTTGAACTGTTCATATCAACTGAAAGTTGGATTCATGCCATCTAACTGCAGTCAAAGTACCCATTTTAGTTAATTGTCTAGACACTTTATATTGTCAGTGAAGAAACAGAGGCTCTTCAAGAGCATGATTCATCCCATCCTAAAATAGGTGTCTAAGCTGCGATAAATTGGAAGTAGCTACCTTTCTCCAGCAAGTAGCAGGAGTGAGCTGATGACGGGCTAGTTGAAGTTATGTGAGATGGTTCACTGGTTTGGGAGATGAGTAATGTTTTTAAATATTTTGTCAAATGGAGGCAAACACGATAAATAGATTTTAGTGTTGAACCTTTCAGGTTTGGAAGGGCAGAGGGCAGAAAGTAGTGTATACAATTCCCTTGCAACTAAGCATAGATAGTCTATGCTTTGTTTTGTCATATGGCAGCTTGAAGAGCAAAAGTTGATGCATAACGCATTGTACATATTTCAGGCTGGGATTAGCCTAGAAATCAGCACCCACTTGCAGTGAGGATTCCTAGTTACTCCTCTGTACAAACAATGTCATGGTGACATTTGAAAGCTATCCTGTCATTTTCTTGTTTGCTTACTGAAAAGTGAATATTCTAGCTGAAAAACAATTTAAACCCACTGCCTAACATATCTCAAAAATAGCTTGAATGGAAAGCGTTTCAAGCTGGTAGAAATATGATACAAGTTTAATACCATCTGAATGATTTTCTCAGTAACTTTAAGAATAAATATTCATTAGAACATTGCTGAAGAGTGAAACTTTTCTCAACAGAGTAATCGGTAACAGTTTTACAGCAGAAAAATTGTTCAGTAAATTTTATTCCCATGTGATATTTGTGGAATGAAGAAAAAGTACCATGTAATATTAAACTCTGCAATGTGTCTTTTGTATTTTGAGGCATTCTTTATGACAGAGGCAAATGAAACAATGACAATTAAGATTTCACTTGCTTCTCCAGCAAGTGCTGAGCTTCTACTGAATGTTTTTCTTAATTGAACAGTCATATTTTCCAGCTGATAGTGAAGTCTCCACTGAGAAAGTACTGCATTAAACAACCACTGATGTTATTTCTGTGAAAGTTCACTTAGCATTTTAAAGGAACAAATATGGTTATTTAGCATGCGCTGATACTGGACTGTGGTAGGACAAAATGACACTGTCAGAATTCCATTATGATCTGCCCATCTCTAGTTTTCTTGAATGTTGGTAGAAATATTCGTATGCCAGAAGGTAGATTTACTTTACATCTATGGTATGTTTTGATACCTGAATTGCCATTTGTTTTTTTTCTCTTTATTACTTAAGTTCAAGGAAAGGAATACTCAAAGAGAAGTATTTCTACCAGTTTGAAATGAAGATACGCTCGTGATGCTTACTTTTGCTGATACCATCTTATAGTAAGAGTAATAAACTCTTAATGTCCTATCCTCACTGTGTGGAAACCTACACTGCAAGGCTACTTCTGCTATCTTCAGGCTCTTAATGATGGAGGGAGATAAGGCAGTTAAGTAGTCTAATAATCAGACTGTACAACCATAGTATCTCATCTAATTGTTCTTTCAGCTGGGAAAAAAAAGGCTCTGTAACCATTTCCAGATTCTTCTGTTCTACCTAAATTAGGAAATAACTTCTTTTAGCATTCTGTTTTTTGTTGGTCTTAATTAAGATGAATGGTTTCTTCTCACCAAATTGTGACTATAAAGACATACACATCATGTTGATCTTTTTAGCCTTTTAATAATAATAATAATAATAAAATAATAAAAAGTTGGAATTATTCTGCCATTTATTATAGTTTTTTGTTTCTTGTTTTTTACAAAGAAATTTGACAAGCAGATTTCTGGAGTTCTAAAGGATTTGAAATAGCCTATGCATGATGTTACACATGCATAAATTACATACACGTACACAAAGAAAACAAGGCACTGTTAAGACTGTACAAGTAATAATTGACCAAAAGATTACATTAGAAACTGAGCTCCTAACTAAAACTGTATTGATAGTCATTACAACACCCTAAAGATTTGTATTGTTTTGGGATTTTCTGCTTAAAAGCTCAGCTGTGTCCCTTTTTCCATATGTATTGGACCCCACGTTAGTAGGTGAATAAATTGCTCCGATGTTGCTGCTGGAACGAACTAAGAAGTCAGCCAAGCGTTGTGTCACACATGTAGCAGTGTTGCACTTCCGCTTCTCCAGGTGGTGACCACTAATGTAAAAAAAAAAAAAAGAAGAACCAAGATGAGGTCATGAAGTCAAATGATGAGCAATCAGGTGTGCTGCTTCTAAAAGGCTTTTGAACTGTGCTAATGTGAGAGTTCTTTTAATATGTGCCACAAATACAGGAACATTACAATCTTCCTTCCACCTACTTTGTGCCTGAATTTTTCTTTTTTGCACTGTATGCTATTATCAGTTTTAATGATGGGGGTTATTTAAATGCTAACCTTAACAGTCATATGTCATTTTTATTGATGTTCAGAATAGCAGTTTATGACATCTAGAAAACCTCTAATGATAGTATAGTTAAGACAGTAAGTGAAAACAATGACTAAATGTTTACCTTTAAGCTGAACTTCTAAGTCTATTCAGAGCTCTTGCTGATATCATGAGGATTACTAATGTAATGGCAACCACTAACATGTATTTAGTTCTCTTCTTCCCTCCAAATCATACCCTGCTCTCACCAAACAGTGATCTTTCAGTCCATGTTAAATGGATTGAGCCAGAAGGCTCTCCCAGCTGTGCCATCTACTGTGAGAGGTGGCAGATATTGCCGACCGCTGCTGGCTTCAGTACCACTGAGGATTTAGTTCTGTCTTAATAGGGATTTCTTCAATAGTGAAAAGGGGCCACATCTTTGTTAAAAGATCTGCAATCGTGTAGGAGGTCATCATTTTCTGGATAAGGCTTTAAAGAGTTCCCGTGGAAGAGTCCTTACCTAAAAATAATATTTAATGCTCTGAACCAACCATTTACAAACGCTGTGTAGGACTTAAGCAGCATTAGATCTTTGTTTTAAACACAATACAATGATTGGCTTGAAAGAGCACAGGCTTTACAACTTCTGAAACTACTCTGCTTCCCCTCCACACATAAATATTTGATGGCCACTTGCTTGTAGAATTATTGTTAATTTTCTTTGGTTTCTTCACATTAACATGGCATGGAGTAGACTGCAGTTTTCAGTAGAAATTGTGAAGAGTTCCAATTTTAGTTTCAAACTCTGAGCAATTACCAATGAATACTTTTTCCTATTGATTGACTAAATCCATTATCTCAAATGTCATCTATTCTTTGAGGGTTAGTTGTGCTAATCTAAGAATGCAAATGGAATAGCAATTATGAGAGAAATGTCTGTAGTATTATACCAGTTTTGATCAGCAAATAGGCAGCAATTTTTAAGCAATCAATATTTTAACTAAATGTTTGCATAGGGTTTGATGTAGCTCTTCATAGATTTTTCTTGGTATTTCTATTATTTAAAAAGAGTTTAATGAAGCCCTTAACATATGGGGTTCAAACAGCAACTGTTTATAATGAAAATCCTCATTTGTTAGTGGAGGCAGAATTCTCCTTTTCTTTAATAGTATCAAATCAGACCCTGCCACTTCAAGTTTAAAATCTCAGTTCTTACAGGAAGTTACCAGATTTCTAACCAGTGTTAAGACTGGCTGAAACCATTATGTCTATTAGCTTTTTAGCTTTCTGATCTATAGCCTTTAATTGAATATGTGCTTTGAAACACTTCACCCAGTAATATTGTATACAAACATCTCAAAAAAGCAGGTAAGGCATACCACACTCATAGAGGTGATGCCCTGTGTTTGATTACTACAATATACATATATATATGTATATATATATATATTGATTTTTAAAAAGCAAGAACTGTATAAATGCACGTAGTCTCCATTATTATTTTGGAAGGGAGCCAAATTGTTATATGGTAATATTTATTTAATTGAAAGAAACAGATAACTCTACATATATTTACTGAGTCTATCTATAGCAGAACTGTCATTGAAAGAGTACTGTTCAAAAGGCAAGATTGAGCATTCAGTGCTGTTTATCATTTAGCAGACATTGCAAGTACTTTTTGAAATGTTATTTTATAGTCAAAACATTACCTGAAATTGGATTTAGGGCTCTATAAACATGAATGTATGTATTTCAGACTACTTAAACTCTATCAGAGCCAGTTTCTTTTCTTCATTCTTCCCATGATTAAACTGGCATGTAACACTAATGAAATATTATTCAATTTCAGGAAGTAGTTAAATTTTAAAAGAATTCTATTCTGTCAAAGCACGTGTGTTATTAAGCAGGATATGTTTTCTTTTTATTTCTCCTTGAGGCTTGGAGATTTGATGTTTAAATTAAAAAAACCTCTTACGATAGACTTTACTTCTCAAGGTAATGTAATATTTGCAAGCTTTTTTCATTTATGAAAGGGCTGTAATTGTGAAGTAACAAATGATGTTCAACTTTTTTTCTCTGGATTTACTTTTATCCTGCTTATGGAGTGGCTCTGTTTACAGGAAGAGTATTTTACGAGAAATAACAGGCATGAAGAATCTCAACAGAATATCACCGGTTTAAATTTTACTTCATTTTACTTCATTTTACTTGTGACACGTCAAGAAGCAGCATGAGAAATCAATACCTTTTTGTCTTTGCTGCTGGCTGTCCCGGCATTTTCTCACTAAGTCCTGAGAGTGTGTTCTGTGACATTATGGGCAGTATCCACTCTTGCCTCTTGGAAGTCCCATCAGAGAGATCGTCACTCACAGATAATAATCTTTAAACGATAAAATACTCTGTGACACTGAATAGCTCTATTTCTGCTCATGTTATTTTAGACATGAAAGTAAAAACAATTCATGCAATAATTGGAAAGCTACCCCTATACAGAAATAAATATGATTACTTATTACTCACTTCTCAATAGATGTAGCTTCCAAACAGCTCAGGGTGACAGAAAGTACAATGAAGAAAACTGACAGCTTTAGGTTGCACATCTTTGCTTCCAAACTTTCTGAAAAGAAAAATGATTGAGAATTGAGAGCAATGCCAAATACTCCTCAGCATATCCTGTGACTGATGACCATTCTGTCCTAAATCAACAGTAGCTGGTCTTTTTCATAGGCTAGAGTGAAAAAATGATTCCCACGAGTTTAGTGACAGGCAAATTCAGAGAGAAATCTCTCAACAGTAAGCATTTATTTTTCATCTAATAGTGTCAATCCTTTCCCATATCTCGAGTTTGCATTTCCTGGCATGTCCTGATCTCAAATTTTGGTCCCAGATGCGATTTACCTTGAAGTCATTTTAGCCTTTTCCTGAAAAAATGCTGTTGATTAATCATTGGAACACGTTTTCCTAAAAGCACATCTATTGCATTGCCTCTTAAATAAGAAAAAAGGAAAGTGTTTACCTTGTAATGGTCAGGGAGCTAACTGGAGAAGCACACCTGCGTTAGCGAGAAGGCTGCATGCCACAGTTCCACGCTTGCACCTGGCTCTGGAGTATCCCTTTTCCCCACTTCCTTGCTGACAATACAGCTCTTATATACCCTTCACACCTTTCTCAGCTCTGACATCAGGCAGCAGAGAGAGAGACTGTCATTAATTCCCATCCGTATCGATAGAAGGTGCCCCAGAGAGGAGCAGAGGCAGCTTGGTCATCGTTACATTAGCACATTGGTAAATATTAGCCTAGTATATGCAGGATGCCTTCCTGAAGATAATAGCATATTGCACATCAGAATCGTAGCTTCAGCTTTACAGTTGTGATAAGATGCTGAGGTAATATTCCCCGTGGGTGTTTTCAAGGGCTAAATAAGGTAACATAAGTTATAGGGAAAGCTGGAGTAAATGAGGCAACGGATCACTGAAATATAAGAAAACAGACTTATTAGAAAACAGACAACGTTGAAGAGGTTTCTTGTAGAAGGATGCGATGATCAAAATAGAAAAACATGTTCAAGGGGATGAAAGCTAAGTGAAGCATACAAAAAGAGGGGAAATGATTTAAATTGACAGATAGTGTGAGAGATGCAGCATAGAAATCATGTTCATTTTTTGGTTAACTATGAATATGAATGAAAATTCTCTCGTTATTAATGTAAAATCTTTTGTTAGTACTGGTAGATTCATTGTTTCATGCATGGAAATTGTTTCAAATGGTATTCTTAGGAAGGGAAAGACTAATATTAAAAAGCTAGGAAACGCCGAAACAAAGGCTGCCTGTGTACATTTAGTTCTAGTGTCCATAGAGCGTGGTTCAGAGAAAAAATACACAGCTTTTAAGAGACTAGGTTTATTTTTTTTTCTTTTAGATAATGAAAATTAAAATTAATTACCTGACTGCATATTTTTCAGTGGGAATTAGGCAGGTGACAATGATTGTCCTCAGGTGTACCTTTAGGTGCCCAAATGCATTTGGAAAACTGGTCTTTCAGTTACTTATGGGGGCTAAGAAGCACAGCTGAAGTTTTCTGTGCTAGGAAATTGTCACATGCATCTTCAGTACTGCCAGACAACAGAAGTTAATTCCTAACTGCCTCTGTGCCAACTGCATTGTCTTAACTGGAAGCCACCTCTGTCAGTTTAGTCTGCAGCAGCAGATTTTGTACTGAAATAACCAAAGCTCCACTGTTGCCTCTCTTTGGTCATCTGTGCTACTTGGGCTGTATGCAGAAAGGATTTTTAGCTAGGATATAATCCTCTCGCAGTGAATATAGTAGCTAGTTTGTTAATAAGATTTTTGCAAGTGACAAAATGTTGTTACAAAAAGTGGGATTCTGCCTTTGAATATATTGCTGTCTGTTTTTAATGATATGACCACATACTTTTTTTTTTTTTTTCCCCCTAGATTCCTCTCCTTCCATCCTGGATGGACAGTCCCAGTGTGTAAGAAGTAAGAATAGTTCTGCTATGTCTTCACCATGACAGTGTGTACTGTGCAACTCAGAGACAAGTTTATCTCTCCATGGAGTTCTTATTGATGTTTTCACTATAGCATTTGACTGGAATGAAAAACATTCTGCTGTCATTTTCAAAATGCTGTGGCATTTTGTATCACTGCAGTCATTTCACTCCCCTGAACTGAAAACATGATTAGACCCATTTTATAGAGATAGAATTGTGCCAAAAAATAATTATGCCAATAATCTGGCTGATAATTAACAGCAGCTCATATTCACAGCTTAAACACTGAATTTGAATACCTTAGTGCAGTGGAGCGGGAAGAGGTCCGGATTCTACTGGTTCTCAGCTTGCACGCTCAGTGCTTGTGAAAAAGCAGCCACAGGTTATTCCAGCTCCTGATAAAGTGTAGATATATCAGATGCAGTTCTGATCTGAGATGTGAGAAGGTTGGTTTCGTTATTCAGAATCAGATACTTTTTAAGGCATGTAAGGGATGTACCAAGACTGAATCAAGCTATGGGACATAAGAAAAGTTAAACAAGATTTTCAAAGAAGCATTAAATCTCAGATCCCAATTCCAGCTGTCATGGGGAGCACCTAATGTTGTGTGGAAAGGAGGTATTCTTGATTGTATTGTAGAAATGAAACTGTGCTCATGATGCCCCAGGACCCTTACATTTTCTCCTGGGTTGGATTTCATTTTGCCAGAATTAGTGACAAGTCTCTCTGGCTTTTTGTTCAGGTATAATGTTAACAAATCAAAGACATTACTTCTTCTGTTGCACGTTCTTTGAAGCAAAAGTAGTGCTTTTGCATACAAACAAGAATGAAATCTGAAATCATAGAATATCTCTTACAGCAGAAATATTCATGACTGAAATGTCAAGAACCTGGCCCAAAGTACCGTGCAGTTAGTACCATTTAACTGAAGTGGTTTCAAAACTATCTTTAACACTGATGAAGTTCAATAACCCTGATCTCAAAACAAAACACCACCTTAATTACTATGCATAACAAATGTTATCTTGCTAAGGAAAGTATTGAGTATTCTTAGGAAAGAAACACAGGACAGACTCTATCCTGGGTAGTTACATGATAATTGTATGTATTTGTACTGGCATTTAAGACCGCATAAAAATAATTGTCTAAAATATTGGGCCTATATGAGGGTAAGAGGACACCAGATCTGAGGTTTACAGAGAACCCAGAGGATATGATATGTCAATACTCCAGTCCTTTCTGGAAACTCCCTGGGTAAACATCTTGACTTGAAAGAGGACGAACCTGCTCTGCGATGTAGTGCACTGGCAGCAGAGGAACAGGGAGTCAGCTGGTGTGTGTTTCTAATGTGGGAGTCTAAAACAGCTCAGATTTGTGCCTGTTTCTCCTTGTTGACTATAAGCTTGCTCCTTTGTAGATGGTGTCTAAAGGTATGTGAAAGGAGTTCCATCATGGGTGCTTTAACTTCCTAAGTCCTCAATAACCTGACATTTAAGGTTGTCTGCCTCTCTTTCTCATTTACTGCTTTTCTTTGGCCATTCTTGATCCCCTCCCGGACAGCCATTTTCCACTTTTAATGACTGCTTTTTAATTTCTGCATTTCATATTTGCTTACTAAGGTTAACAGCACACTCTTTCTATTTGTGAGAGTCAGAAAAAAACCTTATTAGCTGTTAACGTGCACTTTTCCAGATGCCGTTCTGTTGTATAAGTTGGCTGTCTTCAGTAAATTACACTGTTGTTCAGTTGCCAGGAACTAGACATGAATGAATAACTCACAGTTAAGTTTGTCTACTGTATTAAAACAGAAAATGAAAAGCTTTAGGCATTAATCTGATGTTAACATTCGTTACTCCTACTTGGTATGGACCATTTAAGCAGTGACAGAAACTCAAACAGCTCTTCTTGTTGGTCCCTAAACTGGAGTTAACTCTGTTGAAGAGTACTGGAAGCAGCAGCAGCAGCAGAGCTAATGGAGACAAAGTTAATTGTAGAATCATAGAATCACAGAATCACCAAGGTTGGAAAAAACTCTAAAATCATCAAGTCCAACTGCCCACCTGAGGTAATTCAGAAATGGTGGCCATTCATGGAACCAACTAGCAAATGGAATGAAGTAATTTGGATACGTAACAGAACCTTAAATCTGGCCTTTATGTTGTGTTATGCTACTCAGCTCACATCATGGACAGAACAATGATGTAGCTACAAAGGCTGTTGCAAATGATTGCTCAGAGCGTAAGTTCAAGAGAGTTGTGCTGAATCAGTTCCTATAGCTGGGAATTTCCCAAGCAAGCAGAATAAATCCTGTGTTTAGATCATAAAAGTCAGAATTGACAGCACAATTGGTGAGTTATATTTCCTAATGCCAGTCCTGCTTACATTTTATAGAGTGTTAGTTGCAGAGCTCCTACTGGCTTGCATCTAACAATTCACCTCTGAATACAACAATTAGTTTAAGTTCTTGACATTTTTTTCCCTGTCCTTCAACTCATTTCCAGGAATAGAAGAAAAAGCTGAGTTCTCCTTTGGTTATCGATGTCACCTACTAGGGCTCTAGACAGTGCTAAAGGTGACTAGGTAACATGAAATATTACTGCCCTTCTTCCTTTCTTGTAACCTAAGCTATCCACTGCTATCTGCTACAGCCATTAACTAACGTAGCTATCTATAAGAATTCATCAATAGAAAGCTATTCAGCTTTCAGATATATTGCTGTAATATGGTACATACCACAGTACAGTACTATATGGATTCTTATTAATAGGCAAACTTGCATGTGCACCTCAAAAAAGATTAAGGAATTACGTGTGTGAAGAAGTACTGTTTCTGATTTACCAAGTGTTACTGTGAGAAATCCCTATCCCTCTTCCGCACCCCAACAACTTATAAAGAGTATAGGCAACTACAGAAGATTCTGTAAGACCAGGAGCTACTCTCCATACCTAAAAAGTACGGAGCAAATGGAGTCATTCATCAGTAAGAGAAACCGATGGTTTTCAAAGTAAATCTACACAGAATCACATCAGCCCTTCTTACCTGATACAGTGCATAAGTTTGAACTAAGTTTTCTTTTACATTATTTCACTTTCAACAATCAGACTCTTTTTTTCCTCCCTCTGCAAGCTGCAGTAGAGATTGACAATTTGGCTTTGTCTTTAAACACTCTGAGTCTTTCAGATGATGCTGTCTTGACAGCTCTGCCATTAATAGTGGCATTTTTTCTCCTGTTTTAAAGAGAGAGTTGTGCTGAATTGGGAATCAGTCACGTAAGTAATAATTTTTTTGTAGGGGCAAGTGCAGTGTACTAGTTTACGTAGGAGGATTTTCGTTGACAACAGTATGAAACATAAATTAACTTATTTATGGTACGTCAACACATGTAGCTGTAAAAGAAGATAGCCCTCCTTCAAAGAGAAGTGCAATAGGGCTACATTTACTGTATTCCTGCATTGTTGTATATGTGAGCAGAAGACCTGACCTTTTCATTCTACTTGGAGATGAGAAAAGATTTTGATATGCACAGGGAACATGAATCAGTACATTAAATTGTCTCTCTACCAAAAGAAGTCATTAAAAATTCATTAGGAATTCAGCATATGTACCAGGATTAGTGCATTTTGGCTCTTTTACAGTCGTGTCTCTTACAACAAATATTGCTTGTTTCCATCTGATTACCCACCACTCCATTTTTGGCTGAGATCTTCCCTGACAACAGAAGACATACCACAAGTGATGTGGCTGATTCAAAAGGTAATGCCTTCTGCAAGAAACTGTCACTGAATCAAATACCCAGTGCAGAACTGAACACACTATATTACTGCAAGAAAATTAGGCTCTGGTAATTTTATATTGTCAACACATTAAAATAATTTCATATTAATGCGTTTTGTGCCAACAAATGCTACAGTTTTCACGGGACTAAGATGAAAATACATTTTCATAGCATTTGATACAAAAAAGAACCCTGTGCAGAACAGCAGAGAAGCACACACTTAAAGATTTTAAATCTTTTAAATCTATGAGTGTCGAGTACTTACTAAACATGGATAGCATGAACTATTCTTCTGGGTTCAAGCCTTTTGTATTGTGTAAGCTGTTGCCTAGATTGATGGTCTTCATAGCCAGTGATAAACTTCTGGCTATGGCTATGATCCTAGTGACTGTGGGCTTCCTTTTTTTACCCTTTTCAGAAGCACTACAGCCCTTCCGAATGCATTTCTCCAGGCTGGAAATTGCTAATTTCATCTCCAGAAACTTTCAAATTGCCACACTGTTCATGCTTATTGATATTGTGTGAAAAAATGAGCAGCTTTGGCAGCTTTATATGTAATTCCATATCAACATACCGTAAGTTCATATAATTTCACGTCAACAAAAGTTCAAGACATTCTTAAAGTATTTTATAAGCAGTAGTTATAAACTCTCATAGTATTTTCCATGGTGTAATGAATCTTTACGGACTACTACTCTAGGTTATGTATTGTCCTGTTGCCTTTTATAATGCTTGCAATAGTTTGCACTGGTTGATTAAACAACTGTTAAAAGAACCATAAATAAGTGGCTACCATGGAGGTGAAGTATTTTTTTAATGATGAAATCTGAAAAATACAGTTTTCTGAAGTCAGTTAATTTCCCTTGTCAAAAGAGGAGGTATAACTGATGCAACTTAAACCTTTCTGAGCAAGAAAGGGAGATCCTATGAAAATCACCCATGTAAAAGAAATGAGATGTCTGTAGTTAGAAAGTTGTGCTCAAATGTAGGGGCAAAGCTATGTGCCTAATTCACAGAAATGTCACTCATATTCCTCTCTTACATGAGGATATTTCTCACCTTTTAAGACTGAAGTCCACATTCAGAGTTCTCTTAGAAAGGCCAGGTGTATCACCTGTAAGCATTTTCTAGTAACCGGTATCTAACCAGTTGTGTGATGGCATCTCTGCACACAAAGAGTATTATCGCACACCAAGAAACTTGGGGACTTGATGAATAGCAAAAGTGAAATGCTTTCAGGTTACATAAACCACTGATTGATGAATCATGGTTAATGTCTTTTCTTTTTTTTTTTTGGAGGAAAAGGCTCCAGAGAGACTTTGAAGCCTTTGAACTGCCAGTCAACCTACAGTACATTTGTTCCTTTAACTTCTCTTAAAGCATGTTCATGAGCCAATATGCCTTGTTAGTGGAAAGCTGACAAGCTGAACACAAAACAAATCCATCTGTACTTTTAAGAGGAGGTACTGCCCAAAAGGATATCATTAGCTATTCAACATTTTGTTTTAAGTAGTTAATTTATTCTGAAAAGCTGTTTTGACAGTTGGAACATTAATGTTTTCTAACATTTAAAAATAGAAGTTTGTATAACAGAATGTCTTCCAGCCTTGTGGCAGATTTTCTGGAGAATGAAGAATTTTATGTCCTTTTAAAGTTTGCCGCAAGCCTGAAAGACCTGAGCCCGTTTTGCAAAACCAAAACCAAGAAACAATGCATTCATATGTGTAGAAATCAATGTGGTAAACTGCTTTCTTAGGAAAGAAACAGTGTTATGATAGTATTTAGTTTAAATAAATGTAGTTCATTATGAAAACAAACAACCATTAGTGTTTTGCACATAGATAGGATTATCTCCATGTAGGTATCAGTGCATGCTATAAATGACTTCTTTCTGTTTTTCTTGTATTACAGGAGAAAAAACTGAGATGATGTTGGTTTTAAGAGGAATGCACGGAGTTGATGTTAGAGTCAAGGACGAAAGGCAGATCTGAATCTTCACCTAGTCTCTAGCTGACAAATGTGCTCTGATGAGGTGAGAGAAAAGAAAGTGGCATATTATGTTCAAACTAATTCTGAACTTAGGTACAAAATGAACAGAAGGACTTGTATGTTTCTGTATTTGTGCATTTGCAGTGAAAAAAACCAACAACACTCCACTTTTTAAATACAGCTGGGTTCTTTTCTGCCTAGTTTGGGTAAATCAAGCTCTCATTTGTAGATCTTTTCATTGGCCAGTGCAGTGAGATCCTTTGGCTCCCCACAGTACACCCCAGTCTAGTATAACCACTACTAGAATACATACATTGTTGATTAAAGAATGCACTGTTAAATTATTATATCTTTCTTTATTTTTTGCATTCTTCATCTCTATCTTCTGAGGAAGTAGGTTTCCAAAATACTGGGAGAAGGTCCATTTGGTCTGAGCAGATGTTGTGGCCCATTTGAGCAGCTGAAAGCAAAAACAACATTTTGAGGTTTTCAGATTCAGTTTGGCTGTTCTGTTCAAAAGTTTAATTTTGCAGTGAAGCTTTTGGAGTGTGCACCAAGACCAGAGGACAACAAAGAAAATCCCACATTGTCCCTGTTAGAAGTTGTCTCTGTTAGCCTCCATCCGACTGAAAATGGCTGTGCAACTAGAACAGTGCTAGATGGCCAGTGTCCCAGTCAGTACAAGTGAGGACTAACATTTTAAGCTCTACTGTGTCTCCTGATAAGCTTGCAATAGGGAAGAAGATCTCAGGAGACACAACTCAGAAAGGCATTGTTTGGATTTAGTCCAGCTCAGAGCTGGTGGGGGAGATGACCGGGAAAATAATCTGTGTCACAACATCGTTACCCGGCTTGTTATACTACGTCCTGTAGGATGTGAAACCCAGGATTGCTGTAGTGTTTAGTTCTGTGGAGACATAGCTCATATGTCTAGTTTTTCCCAAATAAGATTCAACTGTGGCTGGATGCTACCACACTGCTAGAAAAGAGCGGTTTAGTCCTCAGTGTTTCCAAAACGATGTGTCATATTTAGACTGAGGCCAAAAGTCACCTGTGTATCTTGAATAGATAAATAATCATTATTTATAACATTTGTTTAAGACCAATAGTTGTTCTTGCTTTTTAATTGAAAATTTAGAGCAAATCTGCATTTTCAATTGAGCTCCACAAGCAATTATAAAGAGGTTCTGATCTTAGGGAGTTACTTGCTGGCAGCCTTTTTTGTTCCTCGGCCAAGACAAGTAGGTCTAGAATGACATAAGGAGCAGAGAGATCAAGAATAGGTGTCATTTGACCTATTTTTACTTGTCTAAAACTTAGTTACCTAAGCTAAGCTAGTTCTTCAGGCTTTCAAATTGAAAGGAAGCACCTCCAGAGACCATTTTGTCCCACTCATTTTAGACAGCTGTCTCAAGATAAGATAAATTGCTCTCTGGAAATATCTGTCTTTAGTACTTATTGAGAGAGTCTATATGAGGATCTTCAATGAAACTACTTGCTAAGAATAGAGTATACCTGATTCTATACAAATATTTTACTCTTTCAAGGTATTTTCCTTTTATTGGAGGACTGGAATGACGAGCGTCCCTCAAAATCTGTCCACAGATACAAGAAAATATGTAAATTCTCAATTTCTCAAGTGGTAGACTAATAATGCAGGAAGGAGTGAACTCGGTGCAAATGAGATAGGGATAGATGAAAATTCAATACTCCAGGACATCAGAGATGCTCTGTAATACTGTATTATCTGTAAATTAGTCACAGTAGAGAAAAATACTTAATTCCATGCTTACTGAATTTTACATGAACTCAGTGAATATTAAACAGTGTACATTTATGAACTCATGTGAATTTCAAATCTCTGCTCTGATCTTTTTTGGAGTGGAATTTTATGTGTGCATGTTGCTGACACCTGGGAAAGAACTGGGAGTGACTTCTCACCTTCAGACAACGTCTCAGTCCCCCTGCTGAATCCTCTGAGGTGAAATAAAAGCAAGTTATAAAGGTCAAGATATGCACAGTGAGTGCCTCTCAGTGGCACCTAAGCACATCCACCCACTGAAAATGTTCAGAAACTGAAGGAGTCCATCCACCAAAGTGCTCAAGTATGGTCCCTAGAGATTTGTTACTTCAGGCTCGTTTTTATACACACAGACCATATAAAGTAGGCTATAATTATCTTCTTTAAAACTGAGAACGTGCACTTACCATAAAAATGTTCCCTTGATATCCTTCAGCTTTCAAAATGCTTGAGAAAATGCAAAAGCTCTGTAGCACTCACAGGTAGCTAAAAAATCAAATAAATAAATATATTTTTAGTCTATTTTTCTTTTCTGGGAAAACACTATTTGCAGTGGAATAATCTATGTGGTTTTCTGAGTAAAAGGCACTTGCCTTCCTCTAGGGTTGTAGAGCTAATAATATGGATATATAGCATTTGTTGATTTGTAAGCAGCAGTCTCTAAGATCCTTGGTCTATGAAGCCAGGATTCATATAATTCAGTACTTCCCTTCTCATGGTGCCACAGAAAAACAGAACACTACCGAAGAGAAAGTCTGTATTAATCTTTCATGAATGCAAACTGTTCTTGTTAAGATTCATTAGTGTATGTGCTTATGTGCTCATGTACATATCCAGAGGATTATGCCCTTGAAACATCTCTCTCTTAATTTTTCATATAAATATAAACTCAATTCATACCCAATTCCATCAGTAAGTTAAATTTCTTTGACTTTTTAGATGGTTCAGCACATAGGTCCTTAAGCTCTTTGCAGGTATGGTTATTTGATCGAATTGGGTAGTACATACAAAAAGAAATCTTCTGGAATGGGCAATATGAATATTTGAAAATGTGAATCGTTAAACTACAAAAGTCAATTGAGATAAAGTATGCAATAATTAAAGCTACCATCATGAGGAGTACTTCAGCTTTTGACAAGATAGTATTTTCTTTTTCTTCTGCTTTATCTTTTTTTATTATTATTATTTCTAAAGGAAAGAGAGCACTTGTTGTCACCTAGATACTTTTAAATAGGTATGACGGATAACATTATTTGAAAATAGGGATCTCTATAGTCAAAATCATGGCCACTTTACTCTCTGCAAACAATGTTGCTTAAAATATGAAACTTATGTAGAATATATCCTACCAATATATGTGAGATGAAATATTTAAAAATGGATGGAATCAGAGATGGAAGAAAGGAATACTAACCTTTGTAAGCATGGGGAAAAGATCAGCTAAACTGGGATCTAATGTTCTGCTTTCTGATCGGTTACAATAAATAGGTATCAAGTTCTAAGTGCACTTTCCTAACCAATTCTCTTGATTACTTGCAGTCAGATTTTCATAGCTAATTATTCCAATTAGACTACTGAGGTTTTGGTATTTTTAATGTAAAAGCAGGAGTAATGTAAAAGCAGGAGCTTTAATGACGCTAGGACTTCTGTTTTACATAAAACAAGGCATAGTAATGAGCAGAGGGCTTCTGCACCCAGTGATGATACAAGAGAGAACTCACTTTGCAGCTGAACGAATACTACAAAGCCACCGACTTACTCTGTTGAAGAACTTTTCTTTGGATGAGCAGTGTCCTCATCCTTCATCATCTTTAGATGCTGTATTAGGGAAGCAAGGATGATCATACTGAGTTAAGGCAGATTTATACTAAGCCATTTTCTATCTCTGTTCAGTCTTGCTTTTTCATTGTACTTTGTTCTGCAAACAAAAAGCAGTATTTTCCATTGGAAACAATAGGTATGTGAGGAAAACAAAATGCAAGAAAACCTTCAAATTAATGGGAAATGGGAAATAATATTTTACCTCAGATTTTGTTTTAAGGAAATGAATGATAGAAACAGAATTTTGAATTTTAGTTATATAAGCAAAATTTCAGTACAGGTAGTCATCAGGTATAATTTAGAGGCCATCATGAAGAAAGAACAGAAAGCAGGGCTGTAACTCTTGTGAAATGTATGTCTTCTGAGGAAGAATGAAGGTTTTCTCACACTGGAGGAATGTTAAAAGATTTTTTCTTGAGATATTTTGTAGTGTGTGACATCTGAGAAGGTATGCCCTCAGTCATTTACCTTTGTCAGTTTTTATTCTAAGAAACAATGGAAAACACTGCCTCACCTCTTGCTGTGGTGCAGCACTGAGCAGACTGGGGTTCTCAGTCACTGGTGGTCTCTAGATCATCAGCAGAACTTCTAAAAAATGGCTGTATGGTGCCTAAGGCCTAGATGGCCTAAAGGCAGAGACTGTTATTAGTAACTTGAATTAAAATGTTTTACAGTACAGCAGTATACTTCTAAGTACATGAGACTTTGCTGGTCTGCTGTTTCCCCACGTCAAGCTGACAAACCTTAAGGGGCATATTGTAGTTCAGGGTGCAAAGCTGGGTGCTCCTTCAGCTAGAATAAATCTGAGAAGCCTTGTCCAAGGATGTTGTGCTCAGAGCCAGGTGCTCATTCATCCCAATCCCACCCTCACCAAACTTTGTAGACCTTGCATTTAGGCTTTTTCATGTGCTTTCCTGTGTGAGAAACATACATGAATGTATGCCATCAAGACACTTAGGGTCACAGGTGAAGCATGCTTCAGCACCAGTAGTTGAGGGTCTCTCTCCTGAGTCCCATGTCTGATGTCTGCCTGCTTTGATCACAGTCACAATGACTTTCCACTCTTTGGTTTTGTAACATCCGCTAATCAATAACTAGCAGCACCCAGTGTGCAGCACTGCCCCAGCGGTGTGTGACCACGGGCAGCTTTTGTACCTCTCTTCTGCACAGTGCACTGACGTCACCCAAGTACTGTCCTAAAAGTGAGGGTGACCCTAGTGAATATTGCAGTGCCTAGTTGTTAGGATCTTTGCCCCTTTTTAGAACTGACAACACCTACGTTATTCAATACGTAGTTAAAATTAAATGCTTCAAAAATTGATCCAGGAAGATGTTATACTAAGAAGAAACACAAAAGACTTGCAGCTGGAGATGTTAGGGAGAGTAGTATTATGCCACTGTGCTTCAGAGGCAAGTGCTTT